ATTCTTTAAATTACCCAACCAATTTCTTACAAAATAACTTGCTACTCTGCCTGTACTAATCTAATCTCTGGCGAGGAATTGACATAATCCTTCTCCCCACCTGGGATTTTTGCCTTTCAAACTTGTTTGAAATAAGATCTTAGAATACACTCAACTCTTGAAATTTGCATTTTATGAGCTGTATCTCATATCACCCCAAATATACTTTTTGCTGCTTAATCTGTTCTTTCTCTCAGGGATCAACAGAAGTATTATTCCCTGGAAAAACTTGTAGGGAAATAAGACAGGAACAGGAATGAAGGAAAAAAAGCAAGAAAGTCCCCATGGACAGCAATTTTAGCCCAATCATTCAGTACAGCTGTGAAGAAAATGCAGGTCACATCTCTGTTCATGCATGCCATCAGTCACTGGTTAAGATCTGTCCTTATGAAGCAAATTTCCCAGGCATTTCTACAGTGTGTACATTGCCAAAGTGGACTCTGGCATTATAAAGGGAGACCTCCCACAAAGAGCAACAGAAGTTGGGAATGAACACACATCAGGAGTATAACATAAAGAGGAAACAAGAGGCCTATACACAAAGCATTGGCATCATCGGCAACAGTGATTTTCAGATAGGGAAAGTTAAAAACCTTATTTGGATTCTCACTATAGAACTCGCAAAAGCCTGAGCAATAACTCACTCCAATTAGATCATGCTACAGGTGATTAGCTCCAAAGATGTGTGCAGAGATTTCAATAAAATGGCCGGTTAAAAATTCCACGGCACTTTAAGGATAGCCTCTAAAAGAAAAATACCAACATAGTTAAAGCAACTTGCAAGAGCCTATACAGTGATTTAAAAAAAAAAAACCATTAATAACCTGAATGATAAAAAGATGCCATGCCATGATATTGATGAAGACACTAATGTTTTAGAAAAATTAAAGAAAACCCCTACAAATTATAAAAACCTCAACAAAAAAACCTGTAATTTAGAAAAAGTTAAGAATATCTGCTGAAAATGAGCAAAGCAAAAAGACAAGGTGATGAAAAAATGTTTATGATAACCAAAAATCAGTTTTATGTGTTCAGATAAGAGCAAAGGGAGAACAAATTATTTCAAAGATGTTTCCACACTGAGGAGATCCAGGTGCCCAGCACAGTAAGTAAAAACAGCTCCATAAAGTTACATTATCATAAAATTTTGGACTATCTATGTCAAAGAAACCATCCTGCTAGATTTTAGAAACTGGAACAAAAGGTCATACACAAGAGTTAAAAATCAAAATTCTGCCGGGGATTTAGCTCAGTGGTTCTGCTGCCTTCCTCACAAGCTCAAGGTCCTGAGTTTGATCCCTGGTACCACAAAATATAAAGAAAAGAAAAGAAAAGATCAAAATTTTGAGGAAAATAATTTCCAACCTTAAATTCTATACCCAGCCAAAATGTCCAACAAATGTGAGGGAAGAGTAAATTTTAGAAGTAACAGATTTCAGTTATATTAGTATTCAAGGTAATATACTTCTACTTTAAAGCATCAACAAGAAACAGCAGAGACGCTGACCAAGTTGTTGGAGATACAGGTTTAGAAATGGGGAAAAGTTATAGCATTGGTCATCTGTATACTTGAAATGAAAAACTAAAAAGTCAAACCTAACATAATCTACTCAACAAAAATATGTAATTAAGTAATTATTCATTGAAAAGGATATTCTACATGTTTAAAATTTGTCATTTTTCCACAATCCTACATAAGCTAAAACAGAAGTGTAAACTCCCAGTAATTTATAGCTTATGTGGCTTGCTACTATAAAAAATTCAAAAGACAAATTAAAATTCTTTTAGTATACTCCCTTCTTTATCTTCAAAATATAGGTGACTAGGGCTGGGAATTTAGCTCAGTGGTGCCACTGCCTGCCTCACAAGTGCAAGGTCCCGAGTTCAATCTCCGGTACCAAAAGAGAAAAAAATGTAGGTGACTCGGCTTTTAGATTATTCTGAATAAGCCACTAAGTAGAATATTATACAACTGCTAAAAATCTCTTAAAGATTATATTTCAATATAAAAACATGGTTAGAATGTAAGCAAATAAAAAGAAGATGCACAATTATATGTAGCTGTTTTTCCAACCATGTACTTAAGAAAAAGCTGTCCTTAAAAAAAAAAACAAAAAACAAAAAACACCTAGGATAAAAAATAAAGAAAAGAAAAGAAAAGAAAAGATCAAAATTTTGAGGAAAATAATTTCCAACCTTAAATTCTATACCCAGCCAAAATGTCCAACAAATGTGAGGGAAGAGTAAATTTTAGAAGTAACAGATTTCAGTTATATTAGTATTCAAGGTAATATACTTCTACTTTAAAGCATCAACAAGAAACAGCAGAGACGCTGACCAAGTTGTTGGAGATACAGGTTTAGAAATGGGGAAAAGTTATAGCATTGGTCATCTGTATACTTGAAATGAAAAACTAAAAAGTCAAACCTAACATAATCTACTCAACAAAAATATGTAATTAAGTAATTATTCATTGAAAAGGATATTCTACATGTTTAAAATTTGTCATTTTTCCACAATCCTACATAAGCTAAAACAGAAGTGTAAACTCCCAGTAATTTATAGCTTATGTGGCTTGCTACTATAAAAAATTCAAAAGACAAATTAAAATTCTTTTAGTATACTCCCTTCTTTATCTTCAAAATATAGGTGACTAGGGCTGGGAATTTAGCTCAGTGGTGCCACTGCCTGCCTCACAAGTGCAAGGTCCCGAGTTCAATCTCCGGTACCAAAAGAGAAAAAAATGTAGGTGACTCGGCTTTTAGATTATTCTGAATAAGCCACTAAGTAGAATATTATACAACTGCTAAAAATCTCTTAAAGATTATATTTCAATATAAAAACATGGTTAGAATGTAAGCAAATAAAAAGAAGATGCACAATTATATGTAGCTGTTTTTCCAACCATGTACTTAAGAAAAAGCTGTCCTTAAAAAAAAAAACAAAAAACAAAAAACACCTAGGATAAAGAAATGTAAACATTTCTAATTTGAGTGGTAGGATTATTTTCTTTCCCTATTTTTCTAAATTGAGTATACACTTTTTTTTCTTTTTTGGTACTGGGGATTGAACTTGGGTCCTTGCACTTGCAAGGCAGGCCACCGAACTGCTGAGCAAAATCCCCAGCCTAAGTATACACAATTTGAAGAGCTCAAAAATTAATTTCAATTTTAAACTGTCAATTTTTGCTCCTGTTAATGTGAATTATATCTACCGATTAGATGTGTATTAGAAATTATAACAAAAAATTTGAGGCTTTATTTTTTTGAAGCAGGCATATATTTATAACAAAATTGAGAAGGTACAGATATACCCTTTCTTCCCACAAATGTTTAGCCTCCTTTATTATTAGCATCCCTCATTAGAAGACACATTTGTTAATAACTTATGAACCTACATTATTACTATAACTTACATTAGGCCTCACTCTTGGTGGTATATATTTTGAGTTTATATGACATGTTGTCACTAGATTGCAACAGCAGTATTTTCAATGCCCCAAAAAACCTCTGTGATTAAACTACAGCTGTTCCTCAACTTATGATAAAAGTTATATTCAGACAAACTACCTGGTGTTTTGAGGCAGGGCCTTACTACACAGTTCAGGCTTACCTTGAAGACTATTATAGATCAGGCTGACTTCAGGTCACAGTGCTCCTCCTGCCTCAGCCTCCTGAGTTGTTGAGATTACAGCATGTGCCACCACATCCGGTTCAGATGAAACCCTTGTAAGGTGAAAATACTGAAACTGAAAATGCATTTAATATACCTAACCTATCAAATAACACAGCAAAGCAACACACTGTACACTGTTGACTGTGGACCCTGGTAACTCCATGCTGACTGAGAACTACTACAGTCTTTACTTGAAAGGATCCCATTCACTCTTCACTCAGTGATATAGTTCAGGTCTAAAATGTCCCAAAAGTCTTGTGTTCAAAGCCAAGACTTTTGGCAGCTGACTCCATCATGGAGACGCTCCACTGAACCATGTAGGATCCACTGTTGAGTTCATAACTGAGCTGTTTAGATTTGGGGCCTGGTCAGAAAGCAAGGTTCCTGGGGATGTGACCAGGAAGGGCATATTCTTGTCTCCCAGCTCTACCACTCCCTTTCTGCTTCCTGGCTGCCATGGGTGAGAAGTTGTCCTCCAAGCTCTTCTGCCGTGACATTTCTACCTTGGAGGAAGACAAACATAGCATAAAACTTCCAAAACAATGAGCCAAAATAAACCTTCCTCCTTAAGTTGTAAGTGCTGGGTATTAATAGTATCTCAGCAACAAGGAAGCTGACTGACAAACACAAGAAAAGGTCAATATTCAAAATTTTAAGAATAATTTAAATTGAGTGCATACTGCTTTTACACGATGGTAAAGAAAAAGTCAAACAGAATAACTGTAAGTTGGGGACCATTTGTATTTATTCATAATAAAGATGAGAAATCTACTACCTGTTAACATAATATTTTATGAAAAGTATATTTGGGGGAAAGGAAGAGGGTACAATTCATAACTAAATCTTGGAAACAGCCTATGAGTCCATCAACAGAAGACTGGATAAAGAAGATGTGGTATTTATATACAATGGAGTACTACTCTGCAATAAAGAATAACTTTGAGTCATCTGTAGGAATATCGATGTACTTTGAGGCCAAAGTGTTACATAAAATAAACGAGACACACATGTTTAAATACTGCATGGTTTTTCTTATATGATATAATTAACTCAAAGAGCAAAATAAAAGACACATGCTAGGAAACAAGGAGATAGATCTTTTGCAAATTGGAAGGGGACCAAGAGGTGAATGGAGCAAAGGGAGCGGGAGGTAGGTGAGGGAAAGGGGAAGTGAACAAAATATCCATCTATCAATCTATATTCTATGATTACATTGATTTTCCTTAGTTCAGGGTGGCTTTCATTTGGTTAACTCTTTTTACCTCTTAAATTAAAAAAAAAAATTCATAGTTCTGAAAAAAAATTTTTAAAAAAGAGAAGCAAGGCTTTTCCTTAGTTCAGGGCTTCTTTCATTGGGTAAGATTCAGTTATCTTTTACATTATCTATAGGTATAACCAGACTTGGAACTAACAGTTTGAGTGTTGGCTACTAAGAACTATTTGCCAAATGTGACATTTTCTACCCTCATCCTTTTTGTTTTGTTTGTTTTGTTTTTTGAGACAGGGTTTTGCTAGCCTTGATTTCATTATGTAGCCCAGGATGGCTTTGAACTCCTCCTGCCTCAGCCTCCCAAGTGCTGGGATTATAGGTGGTGCCACCAGAATCCAGCCCTTTTTTCAGCTTGTTACAACCAATCTATACAACATGTCAGTAACACTGGGTACTACAGACACCACTGAGAATGCAAAAAAAAATTTCTGTGGATTTATGGAATATTAATAAGACATTTTTATGTTTTAACCTTCTGATGTAGAATTACTGGCAGTAACATTTAAAAATATACAATCACAGTGATTTATATATATACAATTTGATTTTAAACTTGACTGCAAGTTTTTATATAATCTTTGGAAAATGCTACTAGTTAAACACTTTTCCATTTGTTAAACAGATTTTCAACTTATAATGGAGTTACATTCCAATAAACCCATTGTAAAAAAACACTGTAAACCAAAAATGCATTTAACACCTTGATAAACTCAATGTAGAAGTGAAAAATTGTAAACTGAACCATTTAATATCCTGATCTCTTTGACTTACAATGGGGTTATGTATGATAAGCCCATTATAAAGTTGAAAAGTACGGTGGTACTATTACTGTAATAAAGTTAAGGATATAATCATTGGCGTGTTTTCTCCTGTTTATAGAGTATAAACTGCCTACAGGCAAAAATATAGTATTTTGCCTCTGAGTTGCTGACTACAATGCTTTTCATAAAGACAGCAGTACACTCAATACTACTCACTTGATGTGAAAGTTCAAAGCAGCACAACTCTTTTTCTTCCCACTGCCAAATCTGACCATAACTCTCTACCTTTCTACTTTAGCCACTATGACACTTTCTACTTCATTTATTGATCATCCTTCTCTGAACCAATTAATTCATAGAGGATTTAAATAACAGCCTTGCATAAAAATGATAATACACTAGTCACCCTTTATACACAGGGAATACATTCAGACACTAAATAGATGCCTGAAATAGTGGATAATAGTGAACACTATGTATACTGTTTCTGATAAACCTAAATTACATGCAGTGAAAGATTAACAATAATAAAATAGAAAATGAAAACAAGATACTATAAAGTTATGTGATCTCTTTCTCAAATTATACTGTGGATCTTAGCAACCTCAACATATGGTGTTTTTTTCTTTTCCTTACTAAATTGGGAACTTTCACCTTCTCATTAACAGGAAGGACTTTATAGCTTTTTGTCGGCACAAATTCCCAGCATCGCCACTTTTGTGCTTTGGAAGCGCTATTAAGTAAAATAGGGGTTATTTGAATACAAGTACTGTAATTCTGTGACAGAGCTGGTAACCTCAACAGTTACTTAGTGATGAACAGGTAAACAGTGTATATGCTATGAAAACCCCGGATGATTCAGGTTCCAGGTAGGAAGAGAGATCAAGATTACACAGGATTTCTCTACACTAGTCACAAATGTGCACAATTTAAAATTTATAAATTGTTCCTTTCTGGAATTTTCCATTTATTTTCAGAGCACAGATGATGGCAGTAACTGAAACCTGAAAATATGAAAGACTAAGGATGATAAATATTTTCCAATGCAACACTATCAAGCCTAACTGCTTAATTCGGTATACAAGATCTTACTACTTTAGTTTCCTGCCCCACCCCTTTTGTACTGGGGATCAAACTCAGGACCTTGCACTTGCTGCCCAGAGCATCTTGCCCAATTCTGCCTTCTAGATACATGTATAATTAGCTTTTAAAGTTGTCTTTGTTTCAGTACTCTCTATGACCCCTTTCCTTAACACTAAAAGCAAATTATCCTCCCTTCAAGTATTTCTTCCTTCCTTCATTTATACCTCCACTACATACTCATCATGATGCGTTAGAGTAAGGATATGCTATCTGCCTACCATTAGAACAGCCGGCTATGACTCATTTATCTCCATCTCTCCAACTGTAACATACATAGCAACTCGTAAAAGATATCCAAGTTGTGTGTGGGGGGGTAAGATACAGTTGAAATTATTTTTCCCAACAGCTATCTGGGTTGCTTGATTTACTAAATAAAATTGCTCTTACTGTATTTCAAATCATGTCTAAACATCTATATTAACAGTTATTTCAAAGCTTTACCAGTCTCTTAACAAAAAGGAATGAAAAATAAATTAGTTATTACTGAATAAACTATATATCCACATAATCATTAAGAATCCGCTTAACCATGAAATCATACAAAGCTCACCATTTGATGCTTTTAAGTACCATTCTACAGTGCAAGGTCATTAATTTGCCATATAATATAACTGTTATTTCTCTTATTGTGTGTTTGACTCATGAACTATCATATAAGCACATACTAATTCAAAGACAGAAGCTAGAAATATTTAATACTCAATTAGTGACTACATCTACAGAAAAAAAATTAATGCAAGTCTTTTACCTAATGATCCTGAAATACTTTATGAGCATTACAGTTATACAACTTTAGCACTAGAAAGGATGTTGGAATTTTACAAATTCTGACAAAGCACCTCAGGATAAGAAATAAACCTTCTACAAGTTGCACATGACATTATACTTAGAAGTCAAGTTGTATAAGTCTAAGACTGAGACTGTATTTTCTTAAAAGTCTCACAAATTTAGATTCAGATGATCAAATAAGAATTCTTTTATTCCTTTTTTTGTGAGTACACAAATATTTTTTATATACTCAATGATTCTGACAATACCCAAAGTTAGAAGAAATTATTGTTTATCACAGCAAAACTGTCCTAGGAACATGCAATATTCTTTCTTCATGAATCCCACATCTGCCCTATTCCCAAAAGTACGCTGAGGCTCTATCTGTTACATGGCCCAAAAGGCCACAAGACATAACTGGTAGAAGATTACTACTGAAAGGTTTATCTTTTTGATCCCTATGTATCATGACCACCTTTGTCTCTACTTCTTACTTCATGAGAAGAAAGTATGAATTTCTTATCAATTTTGGTACTTTTTTTCAGTAGTGTCTATCTCTGAAAATTATTACTGTACCTAAAAATACTTTTTCTTTCTACACACAATATTTACCAATTGTGAACCTAAAATTATACAGCCCAAGTCAATATTGCCAGTTTTTGATGTATTAGTATCCTTAGAACTTTCCTACTGAATTAAATGTAAGACAAAGATGCAGGTAGTCACTACCATTAAATAGTACACTGAAAGCACTAGCCATTGGAACTGCTGAAGAAAATAAGATGTGTAAGTATTTCAGAAGTGTGAAAACTACCATTATTTATAATTGGACCATCTTTTGAGAAAAATTGAAACACTATATAAAAATAGAAAATAATGTAAGGAAGCTACTTATGAAATTAATCGTTATTAATATGAGATGATAAGCAACCATATGGAAAATCTCATTGCATCAACAAGCTAAAATCTGTAAATACAATGAATGAATGTAGGTTTGATCCACCCAAACAGCAGGTGTTTGGCATGAATGGTATCATGTAACCGTCTTCACTCAGGAGGCTGGGAACAGGGGGTAGGGGCTCTTTTCTCCTTCAGGATT